GGGGAACAAACGGCGAGGGGCGGGGACAGTGAGAGAGTGTGGGGTCCACAGAGCAATCAGGGTCTATCCGAGCTCCGTCTCACCTCCTCCCCAGTTACTCCAGCCTCCACGGCCCTGAGAAGAGACCTTGCAGTATCCATCTTGAGGACAGTTGTTTGTTTTTTTGTTTGTTTGTTTGTTTGTTTGTTTGTTTTTTTAGTTTTGCCATAGGGTGTGAGCTCTCACTGTGGAGAGAGACAGACAGAGAGAAAGAATATGGATAGAGCCAGAAACCCTGCCTGGGGAGGGCCCCTGAGGCCCAGGGAGGGGTCTGGAGCACAGGCCACCTGCTGTCCCTGTGCAGCCCCTCCTGCGCCTCCTTCAGGGTCTGACCCCGGAGCTGCTCCTTCTGTCACTCCCTGCCCTGCTCTCTCCAACATCTGTCACATGGGGGCATAGACCGAGCAGGTGTCCCCTGACCCTTTCAGGGGAGGCCCCAGCCCTTTGTCAGTCACTGTTGGTGTCCTGCCTCTAGGTGGTTCTTGTCCAGCCCTTCAGGGACACAGTCCGGGGTGGTCGGTCCCCTGCCCTCTACAGCTGGGGCCTGAGTGCCCCCCCAGGGCAGTGTAGGTGTTGTTCCTGCTCTCACCTGTGGTGCGTTCTTTCGGGGGACGGTCACTTCTGCTTCCCTGTAAAACATAATGGCTGTCTCATGTCACTGGGGCACTGGCCAGGACAAGGGTGTATAAGTTGAGCTAATTTCTTAACATTCGTATTTGAATTTTTATGTCCAGTAAAAACGTCTGTGTTCAGCTGGGTCATCTGATAGGGTCCCTCCAGTCCTGATGTCATAAAGCACATTTCATGAGAAGGACCCAACTTTCAAGCTCCTCTCCAGGGGGTTCCAGGGGGGAGGTGGTGGCATGTGGCAGTGGCAGCCCTGGGGTGCAGACACGCCCCAGGCTGAGGGGTCCTGAGAAGCCCCTTCTCTGCCTTGAGCCCTCCAGGCTGGGAGGGCAGAGCCTGGGTGGGATCCCTGCTGGGATGGGGCGGGACGGCCATGGCAGCCTCAGCTGAGCAGCCCGTGGGGCAGAGCTGAGCTTCCAGGGGCAGGTGGAACGGGCAGGAGCGTGGGGCAGAGCTGTGCTTCCAGGGGCAGGTGGAGCGGGCAGGAGCGAGGACAGCCCAGGTGCAGTGAGAGGCTGACAGGGGCAGAGGTCAAGGAAGGCCTCAGGCATGGGGAGCTCTGGGCTCAGTCAGGTGCAGGCCCTGGGGCAGCCGGGTCCTCC